AAACTACAAATAACCCTATAAACCCTAAACCCTAAACCCACAGGATCAGGCTCTAGTCGGCTTTGTAGCACCAGTTACACCGCTACATCGCATCACTCGAACTCGCCCCCGGGAAGTTGGACCCTATCCTAGTAAAACCTACTATTTGCTTAAGAACCCCCAAAAAATGAAATATATATATATATATATATATATTCCTTATGGGGGTAATATAGGGATTATTTTTTGTATTTTTTGGGTGGTTTCTTAAGCAAATAGTAGAAACCCTAAACCCGAAAGGTCCCCCCCCTTTTTGGTGGACCCCGATTCGGCTCCTCTGGGTCGTAGGGCTCTTTGGGCCATCCCCAAGACGGCGGGATCTCCTCCTGGTGGCCGCGACATTTTGGGCTTCGGGTTTAGGGTGTAAGTTTAGTTTTTTTTTGTTGGGGGGGGGGGGGGGGGTTTTGGGTTTTTCGGGTTTTGGGTTTAAGGCTCCCTAGGGCTTTGGGTTTTTGGGCGGTTTTTTGGGGTTTCAGACTCCGCTTGTTTTGTTTGGGAGCCACTTTCGCCACGGCAGCTTGGGTCTTGGGCTGCTCTGGGACTTCAGCGCTTTAGCTCCGGGCTGCCGGTTTTCAATTCTTTGTGGGAGTAGGCATGGTTCAAAGATAAGCGATCACCCTCTTAGGGTCCAAGTACCTAGTTATCATCTACTCTCCAAAATAGTAACCTACATAACTACTATCCTGAAGCCGAGTACCTACTTATAGGGTCCTTTAAGCCCTTAGGGTCAATGAGATCACAGGGTTGATAAGGGTCCCCTGTGGACGGGACCCCTGTGGGTTGCATTTGTCCATTGGGGCCCAATGGGGCCAAATGGGGCCTAATGGGGCCCAATGGCTTTCCCATTTGCCCCCATTAGGCCCCATTGGGCCCTATTGGGCCCCATTGGGCAAATGCAACCCACAGGGGTCCCGTCCACAGGGGACCCTTATCAACTCTGTGATGAGAAGCAAAACAACATCATGGTCCCAAGAAGCCTGGAGCCCGATACGGGAATGTATGTTTCTGTGAGTTTCCAGTTTGTTGGTTTGGCTCGGCGGCGATGGGTCTAGCTTGTGTTCAATGGCATGTGGAAGTTTTGGACCTTCGGGGCAGTAGTCAACAGCCTGCATGATTAATGTAAGCGTAGCTTGTATTTAAGATCTGCCTGAACCCTTCATGCACAAACCCATCTGCGAATAGCATCAATTTTAGGTTAGGCAGACCATGCAACAGGAACCACACATGGACCACAAAGGCTTAAACTAGCAGAAGAAGCTCCGAGAGACATGGTATATATGTACCCGAATATGTGTGTGTTTTCTGACTGTTGCTCTTGTGCTTGTAAGGAGAACAAAGCAACCCAAAACGCTAAACCCTGTCAAACCCCGACCCCTTTTTGCCACTGGGCTTGGGCACTGGCCAGATCCTCACATCGCCCCCTAAACCCCAAACCCTAAAGCCTGAACCCCAGACCTAGCTTCGCCAAGCTCCTCGTCGCCGGCAGCTTTGGCATCGGCTGAGCTGGCCTTGCAGGGCTTCAGAGGCTTCCTCTGGGCTAGGGCTCCTTTTAGGCTTCCTTTCAACACCGCTCACTCTCGGACAAGCCGGTGGAGGTTCTTGGTGTTTAGTCGGCTGGAAGCGATACACCTGTTCAAGAATAGTGACGAGCCCTAAACCCTAAAATCCCTGAACTCTAAACTCTAAGCCCTGACATGCAGCCCTCCTTGCGAGACGGGTCGGCCTGAAGCGCCTCGGCCACCTTCTCTGCCTGTGGGGCCCAGTTTGGGTTTCGAGCTGTAGGGTCTTGGTGGTTGTAGAGTATAGAGCCCGGGGTTTCAGGTTTTAAGGCTTTAGGCCCTAGGGTTTAGGGTTTGAGGGGGGTTTAGGGCAAAAAAAACTGTTGCGGAAACTTCGGCGTGCTTCTCACCTCGGCTTATTCCGCGTTCAAAGTTAAGGATCGAGGCTCGGGAGGTGTACGAGATTTCCTGAGGCTCGGGTTCCGAGACCAAGCCCGAAACCGGGGCCCGTTTACCTTACCTTTGGTTAGTAGGGAATGGAGGAAGGGGGTACAATTATAACATCTATTACTACCATTCTTCCATTCCCTACTAACCAAAGGTAGGTTACCGAACATGGCAAGCGCATGTCGGTTCGGTTTGAACATGGACACGCGATGACCTGCAACAGTGACCCTGTCAAGCCGTCAGTATTCTTAAAAGACACCTTATGGACTGCATGACCTCATGAAACCAGGCGCCTAACCTGACGCCCTTGAGCCCAGGATCTACAGCCGACCGTCTGAAATAGTAAATTCAAGCCCTATATAACCTTAGACAGACACAGCTTCTGAGAACGGCAGAATTGCCGAAGAGCCCGTAGGTTCCAGTAAGGATCCTTACGAGTGGACGGTGGTTTGATCATACTCTGTAGACCCTTTTGATCAAACTCTATACAGTATCAGCCAGAAAGCTGGAATATCATTATCGTAACCCCTTTAAGGTAAATTATAGGGGATCCTACCCTTGATCCATATTCCAACTTTCTGGAGTTCCCTTTAAACCCGCGTTAAAACACTGCCGAGGCCCTTCCACACCCCTTTTAAAACCCAACAAGCCAGATCGGAGCCTCTGGAAACTCCCCTAAACCCGTTATGCCGTGACTGTAGGGCAAAGCACAGAAAAAATATACACATATATATATATATATATATATACATATATGTATATCTATATATATATATATATAAACCTCAATCTTAGAACCGTAAACCCTAGAAATCCTGCTCTCCGCCTCTGCCGCTGGCAAAGCCTGGAGGAGCTCTCTGACATCCTCCAAGCACTTGCGGTGGAGTTACCCCGAGACAGCAAGCCCCACTTATGTAAGGAGTATACCCGCCTTAAATTCTGAAGCCTTTGTGCGATTTCCAGTATGTTCCCGAATTCAAAAGCGTTTTTAGAACTCCTACAGAAAGTTCGTCTGCGCTAGAATAAACTGTGGAGCCTTATGAAACAATACTATTCCTCCTACTTGTCGGGTATCATGGGGCACTAAAGGTTGACCTTTTTTTGTTATATAGGGATTCTATAGGGACTACACTACCCCAAAAAGGTTAAAGGTTACCTACTCTACTACCAGGTCCGTTTTGAGGCCCTACCGGCAATCCCACTGCCTGTGCCCGGCTTAGTGCTTGTATCGGCTTAGGGTTCCCATGGACGACTGTAGGGGTACTAGAATACGGTTTAGGGTTAGGGTTTTAGGAGTTGGGGTTTCGGGTTTTAGGGCTTAGGGTTTACACTAGAAGCTTTTTCGGCCTCCAGCTCCTCAGCTGGTCATGGCTCCTCGTCAACTCCCGGTGAGCGGAAGCCCTACACTGAGAAATCCTTCATCCCAAAAACCGCGAGTGATCGCCGGACCGAAGAAGGCCCCGACTGCTTAAAGTAGCCCTTGTACTTACCGTACCTAAACCTTCAATCCCGAACCCTTAACCACAGGGCTTGGATCGTGTCCCAAACCCCCTGAGGCCCTAAACCCACCCTTTAAGGCCTGAAAGGCTCAAAGAACACCCGACCTCCGCTGAGGAAGCGCTCAGGCGCGCAGACAGTTCTGTCGAGGCGCCGGCGCCCATGACGTTAGCAAAGGTTCTTTTAAGGGATCCCCTGGGGTTTTACAAAATACGGTTCGTTTTAAGGATAGGGCTTCTTTTCGGGTACTATAGGGGGCTCCATCAGGGCTACTACAAGGAGGTGTAGGGTGTATGGGTTTTGGATTTTTGTGCAGAGCGCGTTTTGAAGAAGTCTTCGGCAATGTCCACACTTGTGCCACATGTCCACTGGGTTTTACACGGTTGTTCGTGCTTTAGAACGCAGGCGTTCTGGGTTCAGCTGGTTGGCGAGTGCTTTGGCGATTCTACTGCATTGTTCTACTTGCATTGCTGAGTTGTCCTTTAAGCACTTTGAAAATTATCTACTATTATGGTTCTCTACAAAATAGTAGGGGAAACTTAAAAAGATCCCAAAGGACAACCCAGATTGACAGAGTGTAGTCTGAGGGGTGTCGGCTGGCTTCATCATTGGCCTCCTTGAATGCCGAATCTCAACCAAGCTTGCGCAGGTTTCAAGCGGTTTTAATGTAGGGCAGTCCGGTAATAGAGGGGCCTGAAGAAATTACCAATACTTTTTGGGAGGTTCCTTATTGTAACTATGGCATAATGGGCCCAAAAACCATTTTCTAATTATTAAGGCCCCTGCATCACGTTTTGCGCTAGGTAGAGCTTGTTCTGGCGTTCCGATTCAGCGAGTCTCTTGGGCTGCAAGCTTGAAGTATGTCGTACGGCTTTTGTCAAGTCCTGTCGCATTTCTTGTTTTTCGTTCTGTCCGGTGGCTTCTTGTCAAAGATCTAAGCGGCTGCGGTGCGCCGGAAAGTCGGATGCTGGCATAGCAGGAGCAAATGTAGCAGTACTACTCCACTCTGTTGCTACTGCCGCCAGAACCACCACCGCCACCACCACTCCCGCTGAAAGAATGCTACATAAGTGTAGCGCATGCTTCTACACCAAGAAATATATATATATATATATGTGTATGTATGACTACACGTTTGAAGGAATTGGGAGGTCTTAGCCCCCTTGCGCTGTGTCGACCTCTGCTGGCTCTGCAGTGCGAAGCGCCTCTCATATTCGTAAGGGGCTAATAACCGTGATGGGCTCGAAGGCTGTATACATGCGGATGAAACTGTCATCTATCATCTACACTTCTTGTGTAACATTTCGGATGTGCAGTCAGGAGTGCGTGGCCCACGGGCTTATCGGGCCAGTGTCAGGTTCCCATTCTCCGCAGACTGTACCCGCCTGACCCTTACCTAGCTTAGAAAGGAAGCACAACTATACACAACTCCCCTAAACCCTAAGCCCTAAACTCCAACCCCCGTAACTTTGAGGGCTCTACGGTGACGACGCACTTCTGCAAACCAGGCAGCCTGGCCTCTTCAGCTGCATACCGGAGGACCCGCACCAGGCACGCGGCCTCTACCCAGAGGCTCATTTCCCATGGTAGTTCTTTTTGGGGGTTCATATTTTAGAATCCTATAACCTACTTGTCGGGTATCATGGGGAACTAAAGGTTGACCTTTTTTGTTATATAGGGATTCTATAGGGACTATACTACCCCAAAAAGGTTAAAGGTTACCTACTCTACTACTAAGAGCCCCTTATAGAACCCCCTATTAGATCCCTTAAATAAACCTTTTAGGGGTACCCTAAGCCCCAAAAAGGTTAAAGGTTGATTACCAAAAAGGAACTACCAAAAGGAGCCTCTGGGCAGCGAGGGACGTCTGAGATCGTCCGGCTTCAACTTGTCTCGAGCTTTCGAAACAGATTCGGATTTTCATGCCTGCTGGTCCAGGGTTAAGGGTTTAGGGTTTAGGGTTTTAGGGTTTAACCCTAATTGTTGAAGATCATTGTAAGACATTGGTAATTTAATTTTCCATCGTTTGACGGTGGATAGGGAGCTCTTGACCGCCGCGCAACATCGAATCCAGGACTCCTTGATCCTCACTACGCATGTGCTATCCTGTGCAGTGAGATCCTGGAGGCGGCCAAATCCCGCACATAACCCCGAGAAGGGCAGGGCAGTCAGGATGCGTTGAAGACAGCGCCGTCAGAAGCTGCAAGGCCAGAAATATGTCGCAGTGGATATCCACGTCGCTACCGCCATTTTTGGTTTTCTTCGCCAGAGCCCCTAAACCCTAAACCCTAAACCCTAAGTCTCGGCCGGTGCGGCCTTACGACCTTGCAGGCGATCTTAGTGGGATCGCAGCAACCACCCAGGGGCTCCAAAATAGTTCCTTTTTGGGGCGCAGATTTAGAATCCTAAAAGGTAATCCCAAAAAGGAACTACTATGGAGCCTCTGGGTACAGCAATAACAGCACTAACAGATCGCAGACAGACAAGCTCATCCCGACAAAAATGAGATGACCCCTGAACTTGATGGCGAAGTCGTCCATGAGAACACAACCGATGCAGCGCCCAACCCCCCCAACCCCGAACAAATCCAAAAGCATACAAAACCCCAAATCTCTAACTCAAGCTCCTAGTGGCTCTCATCTCTTTTTCAAACCCAGACTCTGCTGATCAGCTGGGAAGCAGCACTACCAAACTACATGTGGCAACATCGCCGGATTCTAACCGGATCTCTCAACCCTGAAGACCTAAAGCCTCAACCCCAAAGTCCCAAACCAAACCAAACTCCTAATCTCACGATGCTCCCATACCCAGCCAAAGCCCGACAACTGGGTAGTTGTCAAAATTATGGTCCCTTTTGGGATACCCTCAATATGAGGTGCAGTCCTATAATAAGGACCTCAAAAATCGACCCTCCTATTCACAACCACCTAATGGCAAACCCCGGCGCCTGGTAGCCCGGGAAACAGACCCGGTTCCTCTTGCGCCTGCAAGCTGCCGTTTCTAAAGGAACTCCAAACTCGGGGCCTGAGGGTCCAGGGTCTGTTATTTTCTTGGAAGTAAGGGGTCTGTTGTTTAGGGTTAAAGGGTTTGGGCTTAGGGTTCTTTGGTTTACGGTTTTGGGTTTAGGGTTTGGTGTGCTGATTCTCAACCCTTTTGCATCCGGTCTGCAGCGACTCCCTCTCCCTCTCTCTCTCCCAGGCGACTCCCTAAACCTAGAATCCCAGTTTCTAATGCCTCGACCTTGGTTAAGCACCTGCCGTTCGACTCGAAAACTCACCCGTAGCACCGGGAAGGCTGCAGGCTCCACGTCTAAGGTGGTTCAATGCCTTGTGCGTGGGTTTCGTTCACTGTTTTGGGCGTGCTGCGGATCCATCTATATGCAGCCGTAGTAGTCTTGCACAGTGGTCAATGAACTGATGGGAGTGATGCCTGTTCACAAGCATCACACCATGAAGATGAGATGGCTGGCAATAACCTACTCTGCCAGTGATAAGACCATGAGAAGAACTGCTGCCTCTGCCCCCAAGCTTGCCTGTAGAGTTTCCTATGCAGGAGCGCTCTCGTTGCAAGTGCTTCGCACTCTCTTGGGGTTAAGGCCCTTTAGGACCGAATATTTTGGGGTGTCGGTGTCTAATTAGTGCAGGGGTTATGGCATAAACTTACGGTAATGGTGGGTCGAAGACTCTTCGGGAGGATGCTGTCGGCGCATCGTGCTCTTGAGGGGGGAAGGGCTCCCAACCACTCCATGGCGGTTGTCAATATTAGGGTCCCTTTTTGGGTCCTTAGTACAATACGGCACCTAATATTTAGGGTACCAAAAAGGGGCCATATTTTTGACAACTACCCCCATCTGGTGGTGTTGGTCGCCGCCGTCGGCACAGCATTGGCACTTAGGAGTGGCGGTCGTCGCCGCAAATGCGGTGGAAAGACAGTGGAGCGGCCCCCCTCCCTGCGATGCACTGAGGCCCACACTGGCCAAGCAAGGTCCTCAGCTGTTTGACGGGGGCTTTTGGTGGATTAGCTTGCATTTGATGGTTCTTCATCAGCAGAGTTTGAAAGTAGCTCAAGGGCACCGCAGCCCGCAAGTTGCAAAGCCACTGACAGGACCAAAGTCGGTCGCGTGATGGATACAACTTTCAG